GACTGAAGGCCAGTATCAATGATACCAATACTGATTTCTCTATAAAATTGCCCCCCCCTCCACCCCAATATTTAACCATTGACTATAGCCATTCAACATTACAGTATACTTGAGAGCTATCAATTTTAACATTTATTAGACTTTTAAAAAATTACTTCTAATTTAAGTAAACTTAAAACAATCTTCACAAAAACCCATTATAATGTCATATTTACCTGTACCCTTCAGCAGAAATAGGCTATACAGAAATTGAAATGGAAGTTATCAAACACTAAATTCTAAATTAAATATAGATGAATCCTTAAAGCTATAAAAGTTATTGATTTCCTCTTTTTTCTTTGTCCTATGATGAACAGACATCCCAGCAGCTGGTTATTAGGTTATTTTGGCTGTTATTTCTTCAAGAGCTGCCACTGCTGAACGTGACGCGGATCTGACACGCATCGTATTTTCTCAACTCTCTTTACCTTTTCTGACCCACTTCAGGTCTTAAAGTCTCTACTAATGAACTGACGAGTTAAATCGGGTGTGTTAGATGAGTTGAAAACCATTTCAGAGACATGTTCTTTAAATGTGACTCATTTATCTAAATATATTAGGCCCCGTTTACACTGTCAGTTTTCTCATATGTGACAAAGATCGGATCTGTTCTGTGACAGTGTAAACAGGAAAAAAACACATGCATTCGGATATTTCGAGATCGGTTTCAGGCCTCATTCATATGTGGAAATAAATCGGATATAAATCAGATATGTGCCAATGCGACTGTCATGTAAACAGGGAGATCGGATTTTCTGAGGTATTGCGTTCTGTACGTCATTAAAACTGCAACAATTTGGTACTTTTTGGCATGGTTTAATGATGTCATATGTGACCCGTGCTGGCAAAATGAGTGTAAATTTGCACGGGCTATTTTGAGCTACAGGCAAAAAAAATGAAAAATGCTCCAAGTAGTAATTAAACACCTAATATTATCTTTATTTGTACATTTTCTGAGAGGATTACCTTTTCTCCGCTCGCTTCTCGCGCTGACTGTCATCCGAAGTGCGTGCATATAACGGCGCTTCTGATGCCGCGCGATCCCGATAAATACACACATATACAGATTTATAGTATTTCAGTATTCACGCAAACATAATCTGTTCTGTCTTAAGTGAACGCTTGGGGAGCTGTTGGGGGAAAACATCTGATGTGTAACATTATATTAGATTCGTGCATTACAGTATAGGACATCTGTCTCAATGTTAATCTAACAATAAAAGAAAAGAGGAAATCACTCGCTGCACTTCATTGAACTGCTTTTGTAGTTTTAATAAACAATTTATTTGTAATGAACACACTTAAGTTATTTTTACATTTGATTATTTGTTTTTTGTACATGAATGCTTTAGTTTAGATATAAAATGATAAAGGTAATGCGTTATTTGTTTCTTTCTAGGCTATTTGTTCTACTGTTTTTTTTGCATCTGTTCTTATTTATAATAGCAAAGATAAAATAAAAAATTGTATTGTAATTATTAATATAGTAATTAATAAGAAGAAAAGACGGAGGACTTCACTCTATCGACTTCAAACGGCTGTAGCTCAGTCATTTTTTGTCCGATTCCAACAAATCATGCAGTCTTTTAATGGAGAATGTCATTTTTTTTTTAAATTGCTCATTGTGACTAATTTTGTCAGCACAGGTCACATTATTCTCAGGAGGAAGCACATGTGGAGGCGGTAAATGACAACAACTCATGTTTCAGACGATATGTCAAGTGTAACACATGAATCTGATATGGGTCACAATTGAAAGAACGTGTAATCAGCCAAAAAAATCACATATAGGCAACAAATCAGAATTGGGCATCAAGACCTGCAGTGTAAACATGCACAGTTTTAAGGCAGCTTTAATCGCCTTTTTGGTAACATCATGACTTTCCTGACCATGACATTGCATGCATGTAGTTTGTTTCATTCGCACTTTCATATGAAATGGTACAGGCTACAGCGCGCGCCGGTGTCTTTGTGCGTGCGATTGAAGAGTACGCGCTACGAGCACAGTACAGTTTCCACGCTCATTTGACTCGCGCCTGGCGCTGAAGTGAAGTTGAAGCGCACGTCTGAAACGCCTCCGGTTTGATGTGGTCGTAAAGACGTTCTGCGACTGAATAAATGCACTTCTTGTCAAGATAAAAAGTGACAGAAACAGCAGTTGTGAGAGGGGTGGCCAACCCTATCTCCACCCCTGCATTAATTGCGTTAAATATTTTTTACGCGTTAAACTGAAAAATGTAATCGCCTGCATTAACGCGTTAATATATATATATATACACATACTCTATTATATTCAACAGAAATACATGTATAAAATGGCAAAAAAAAAATGTAGTAAGCTGTATCATTTCATAAAGTATAATACATTGAAAAATTCACTTTTTTTGGCAGAAGTATAATTTGTTTGAATTTCAAATATCCAATAAGCCAAAAACTCAGCAATACAACTGAAAATAAATGCAAATACTGACTGGATAATGTAGGATAATAATAGAGAAAAAGAGACAGAAAAATAACTGGAATGTGGAAAGCTATTGCCACCTAATATAACCATCATTGCTAAATAATGGATCACCATGGGTGAGGAAAGTGAGAGAGGGCAGTTTGGGGCACCTGCAATAAGATAAAAGGGAATACATGATAATTTCTAACAGAGCAGATGTTATACTGAGGTGAACTCGAGAAGATGTGGCAGGTCTGGACCTCTTTTAGAGGAATAACGGGATCCAAGGGATACCCTGGAGAAAAGGTTATGCTGAGTTTGAAGGGGGAAGATGCAAAGCAGATGCATAGAGAAGTGTAAACATCTCAGTGCAGGTAATTAAAGTGTGTTTAGAGCCTCATGCCAGAGAGGAATTGATCACCGGAAACCACAGCACGACCACAGGTCTGATAAATCTATTACTTCTTACTCCCTTGTTTCTTCCTTTCGTATCTTAAAACACTCCTCATCTATTGACTGAATGAGGAGATTCAGGAAGTCCCACAAGATTAAGGGGGGCAGAGTCAACCACCCCGAACACTTGAGCGTTAATTGCAACTATGTATTTATCAGCCGGATCTCAAGCACTGCTCTGACAGGCAAATTAGGGAGTTTCGTGGGGTGGAAGGGGGGTGGTAAGATTTACTGCAGTTTGTGAAGAGTGAATTATGAAAGAGCAGAGGAAAAAAGAGAAAATGGAAAGGACTTTCTAAGTTCAAACGCAGTAGGAGGGTCCCAACAGTCTCTTCACACCTGGAGGAACAGGTGGCTGAACACCAGGGCTCGAGAGAAGCGTGTTGCAGCCGCACTCGCCACATGCTGCTGCTAACACACATCTCTTACGTGTTAATGCTGTGGTGCAGTTGCCATGGCATTCAACAACACTTGCTAATTACAAGCTAAAGAAAATTACAAACAGGCTCTTGAAGGGAGCTAGCAAACCCCTAATGCTGTTATCCTGTAAAAATCTGATTACACTGCGGCGAGGTCAAGCAACGGCCCAGCTCACGCATTCAGATTCGTGACGAGGTGAAGTATAACAAATACCAGAAATTACCTTGGAGGACACGATCCTGTTGTCACAGAATTTAGAGGGGATGAAGGCCTCGGTGTCCGGACATGGCCGATGTCCTACATAGATTGTCCTGCTGTCCACTCGCTTCTCATCTCCTCCACACTACATGGACACATGGAGAAACAGGAAAAAAGAGAGAGAGAGATCATTCAGATGAACAGCAACAGCAGCTGATCAACATCAAACAGGAGAACCAGTCGGGGTAACATGTTTGAAAAAAGTCATAATTTTTGCCTTTACACTAGGTCATAGTATTGTTGTGGCATCTTTTGGTTTAAATGTCAGTATGGTAACATTATATAGCTGTTTATACTACACTCTCAGGAAAAAAAGGTTCAAAAGCTGTCACTGGCGTGGTACTCTTTCAAAAGGTACACTTTTTTCAGTTTTTGCCTTTGTTGTTATAGGACAGTATAGAGATGACAGGAAGTGAAGTGGGAGAGAGAGGGGGGCGGGATCGGGGGAGAGGTCCTCGAGCCGGGATTCGAACTCGGGACACCCATTGCACAACGGGACTATATGTTGGCCCATTGCCCTACATACTAGTGGTCGGCTGATATTTGGCATTTTTCAAATATTGGTATCGGCCGATAAGTTTTTCTGTTTGGCCGATGCGTTCGAGGCGGGACTTTTATTTTGACGGCGTGCCGGACCTGCCGGCGCTGACAGTGGCAGCGCCTGAGCACACAGTGCTCACATTCTCCCTCTCCCTCTGAACTGTTAAACAAAGGAATTAAAATGTATACAAAAAGTATTATAACAATTGCTTTTATATTATTAGTAATAGAAAGGCAAACATTATAATACTTTCTCGTTTGCCGTCAGCATTCAGCAAATACGCATTTACATCATTTAAAACAAATCTTTGAATGGCTAATGAAAATTTAATTTCACAAACCTTGCAAACTTAGTCGAATCCAGTTGTGAGATCTGTTGTGAAGTGTGCATGTGACCTGCATGATCGCGTGTTCTCTGCATGACTCCGTGCAAATTGAATGCTTTAAACATTAAATTTGTGATTTCAAATTATGCTGCGCTTTATGTATTTGCCCACTGTCATATTCATGTCATTTTCACTGTGTGCTGTATGTAAAATGAGTGATACCTTGGCTTTATTTGAAAAAATATGATTCCCAATGCACACAAACTTCCCAGAATACTGA